GACCCACTAGCGTTGGCGCCAGCGGCATCGGTGGCTTCCCCTCCTCCTCCTCCCAGGAGGGAGGGGGGAAAAAAGAAAAAAAATGTTTCCTCCTGGCAGGCAGCACAGGTTCAACCCAAACTTCTGGCAGCGGCGGTGGCTGCGCTAGGCTCCAGCTCTCCTTCTCCTCTTCCTAGGCGGCTGGCCAGCGGCAGCGGTGCAGCCTCCTGGCCGGTCCCTGCCTCCAGAGCCCCCTAGTGGGCGCGGTGGCGCTGCAGAAGGTCCGCCTCCTTGGCTCTGAGCGCCTGGCTCGCTTCACTACTGCGCGGCTCTTCCCAGCGCTTATTTAAGGCTGGAGCCTCCACCCCTCAGGCTGCGCCCTCCCCCATACTACCTCATTCCCCCAGTCCTCGCCCTCTCCACCCCCATACGCTCCGCTCATTGCTTGCCGCCCCACCCCTCTCCGCCTGGCCGGCCCCCTCCCTCTCCTCCTTCTCCCACCCCGCTAGCCTGGCTCTTCCTCCCTCGCACGCCTCCTCCTCCTTTCCCCCCTTCTCCTCTTCCCCTGGAGTGTTGGGTTGATTTTCTATTGTCTTCTCACAATTCTGTTTTCCTTTGTTCCTACTTCTCTCTTTTTACTTGCTAACAGCCAAACACTGTTGCTCTCTTTCATCCTTTATTCCTTTTACTTCTGTGTTTTGGTCCTCCCCTTATAAACACATCCTATGTCACCTCTGCATTTGCTCTATTCACCTCTTGAATCTACAAACCCTTTCCTACCATCTCATCACTTCTTTCCTCTTAAAAACTCTATCTTTAAATGAACACTTATACACATTCATATATCTTTATTTTTTCTCACTTGTACCATTTTATTTGAAGACAGGTATTTTTCATGGATCAACATTTTGAGGACTAAGATGTTTGATTAGAATTTATCAATTTTGGTCTTATAATCTTATTTCTTTTTTGTTTTCATTGCCTGAGACATTTAGGCATGTATTCTCTCACTTATCAGTTTCCCTCAACTCTCTTTTCCTCTGCTAATAGGCCATTCTCTATGTTCTCTTTTTCACTCTTCTTTTAAATATTTTACTTCTATTTTTTATTATCCTCTGTCATAGACTTCATATCCTATATCACTTCTGTTCTATCCCTGGTCACCACCTGAAATTGTAAACCCTTTTATAAACTTACTGTTTTTGCTGTGGGCAATAATTGATCATATTGTTTCTG